TGGTCGACGTGGTTACCCCGCTAAAATGATGAGTGACAATGGCAAAACCAAAGCCCCTGAAAAGGAGTTCTCGGTCTTTCTCCAAACTGTATCCCGTGATATTGTTAAAAAGTACTGACTCCAGGGTATGAATTGGCAGTTTATCCCTCCCAGCGTCCCGTACATGGGTGGCTTATGGGAGTCTGCAGTTAAAAGTTTTAAACTTCACTTCAAAAGCACTGCCGGGCCCCATGAATTTACGTTTGAGGAGTTTACTACCCTTTTAATAAGAGTAGAAGCTGTATTAAATTCTCTTCCGATATCTCCACTCACCCAAGATCCGACGGACTTTACAGTGCTCTCACCTGGCCACTTCCTCCGGGGTGATCCCCTCCCATCATTCCCCGAATCTAATCACGAAAACCTCTCGCTCATTAATAGATGAGAAAAACACAAGGTCTTACACCACCAATTCGTAAATCGATGGATGGAAAACTACCTTAAAGACCTACATAAGCAACACAAGTGGAAGGACGCTCAAGTAGAACCCAGAATCGGAGAATGCGTAGTCATTAATGATGATACAGTTCCCACGGAATGGCGCCTGGGCCGCATCGAAAGGTTGCACCCTGGCAAGGATGGACACATTCGTGTGGTCGACGTCCGCATCCAAACCGGCCTACTCACTCGGCCATTAGTAAAATTAGTATTTCTGCCTCTCGAATTGAAACCAATCAGCCACTCCATAAAACCCTCAAATGAATAAGCAGCCAAATGGCTGTACATCTTTTCTCATACACCACACATACATACATACTTCTCGTATCTAAAAATCTCTGTATATAAACTCTTAACAGATAGACCGCGCGCATCGCTTAAGTCCAAAGTGGTAATGACTCCCTCCCTTGAAAGCGAACTACACCTGGCTCTCATCGTATCGAGGAGGACTATCTGCGATGTCGCTTGTGCACACGTCACCACTCCCTGAGAATGTGCCCGTATTCGTAGGCATGCAGCCGCAACAATGCTTTTTGTTAGCCAGGGCGTATAAATACTGCAGCAATTGTCTGGCTCTGTTGCACATCACGGCCGAATGTACATCCAGTGGTGGATGCAGAGTCTTCTCGCTACAACATCACTCACTCTTACACCGGAATAGTACGCCGACGGCTCGCCACACGAAGGGGAACTCCGCAGTGCAGCCCCTAAAGGCCTCGTCCAGACAAATAAAACCGCTCCCCAACGTGGGGGATCAGGGCGTACACCACCGCGCTTCAAGCACTTCGGACACCATACCGCATAGTCAGCAACTGGAAAACGCACCGTTTAACGTACCGCCCGTGGGCTACAAACTGCCTCCTATCGCGGTAAAGTCACCAGCATCCTGGTTCAGGAGGCGATGCGGGGTCTACAAGAGCTGAAGGCGGCACTAGCCGCTTAATGAACTTAGGGCCGGCAGGATGTTGGAGCGACCAATGCGGCAACAGGTCCACAGTATTTCATTGAATACATTATTATTGAATTTTATACTAATGCAGTTTTATGCATTCATATCTATATAAGCTAGCACCCGTTGTATGTATTTTGAGTTTGTGTGCATTCATATCCATGCGATACGTAAGCTAGCACCCTTTGTATTTACTTTGAATTTGTACTAAAACTGTATTTAATGCACACTTTATGTAAGCATATATATGTATATACTTTTGCATTTTGTTAGATGAGAGAAAGCTGCAGTCTCGTGCGCGAATAAATTAAACCTTTAATCTTGTATTGAATTATGAAATTGTATATGCGAAAGACGCGGAAATAGAACTTTATATATATAAAAGAAAACGCTCACGAAATCTGTACGTTCTTGGGCGCGATTCAGATCATTTTTGCGTGTAGTTTCGCGTTCCTATCGCTGCGTGCGGTTTGCATACAGTTTTGCTGTATCCATCGTTGGAGCTTTGCCGTAGTTCCGCCGTGGGAAGAGAGCTACGCCCACGTTGACCCCCATCCATCGGTCGCCCAATCGACGCCGTAAAATCTGCATCGCCAATCATAACCGCCGCCAGTCGCCAGTACACCGACCAGCCACCGCCGCCGCAAGAGCTGTACGCCGCCTTCGCCGATGATCTCAGTTGATCGCTTGGAGCAACCCTATTCGCCTAAGGAAGGCTTGTGCTGCGCCACCACCTGATAAAAAAATGATATTCAACTTATTTTTAAAATAAATCAATTATTACACTATGAGTATCGCTCGAAATGGTTTTGAAAAGGCTTTATTTTTTAATTATATGTAGGAGGGCTTCCACCTCTTTCAAGAAGCAAGTTCGACTTAAATAAGGGTAGAAAATTCAAATGTATATCCTGATATGGATGTCCGACAAAAGAGGTTGTAGTTTGAAAATATTTTGCGGAGGGTTTCCACCTTGTTACATGGTGTTACATGAATATAGATTACAGTTTGGTTTGAAGGAATTTTATTCCACACTGCATGTAAGCGGGTTGCCACCTGATTTTATAATTAAATTAAATTTGAATTATGAATATTACATAATTTAAATATGTATCACGATACAAGTGCCTAACGAAAAAGATTTAACGAGGTTTTGGTTTAAAAATAATTTGAATAGGATTGCCATCTGTTTGAAAAGTCGAATTAAGTTAAATTATATTAAATATTTGCGTCAAACAAAGTAGTAATGAAAAATATTTAGTTTGAGCATTTATAACATTAAAGGGTTTGTACTTTTGTAAAAATTAAACTCAATTTATTTAATAACTTAAATGAATTATCAAAGTATGGGTATAAATTAACATGGGTTAAAAATGCTTTTTTCTGAACTTTATTCAAATGAATAAAAGGAATTAGATACACAATTTAAATATGTGTGTCAGTCCAAAAGGTTTAACAAGGGTTTGGGTTTAAAATATTTTGAATAGGGTTGCCAGCTGTTTTAGATTAGAATTTAATTAAAGTAGCATAAGTTAAATGAAATATTAAAATATGACGTGAAACGAGGGTTAAGATATCTTTAGTTTGAATATTAAGAATATTAGATAGGGTTGCCACCTGTTTAAATAGGTAAATCCAAATTATTTAATGAGTTAAAGCAATTACTAAAAAGTGGGTATCAAATGAAATGTGTTCAAAAAGGCTTTATTTCTGAACTGTATTTAGGACGTGACAACCACGTACTTAAAAAATCAAATTTAACTTAATTCATCAGGCAGATGAAATATGTAGCTATCGAAATATCAGACGCAAGAGATTTGTTTATTTCCTAACTATATATAGGAGGATTGCGAGCTGTTTCAGAAATCTTAGCTAACTTATGCACAAATCCGAAGACAAATATAATGAGAAGACGAGCACGAACAAGAAGAATAATACTAATACGGGGACCTAGGCTGCTATGAAAAGTAACACAAATTTCTGCAGTATGAAAGGAAATAAAAATGAATCGAAGTAATGGCATATTTTTGTCTATTTACGTGCGTTATTAAATAAATTAATGGAATTTCGGAAAAGATGTTATTTCCATTTGTAATATCCACACAAAATTGAATTTTGGAGCTTCTCTTAGGAAAATATTGACCGGCAGTTCCAATGGTGCCGATAAGTGAAGCTTAATTTTTTTTCTTCGTCTTGCAATTGTATGGGCGTCATCAGAATATTATTTTTCCGTAATGACTATCTATTAGAACTAGGGTTGCCAGACGTACTCCTTTATATTGCAATATACTCCCTTGTACTCCCACAAAAGTTCTGGAAATGTACTCCTTTTTTAGTTTTGTACTTCTTTTGTACTCCTTTTCCAGCAATCAATTTGTATCATATAAAAATAATAACTGTCGCACAGGTTTTTTTGAAAAATAAAGTGGTCCTTTATATAAGAGAGTATTTTATTGTTAATTTTCCTCAGATTTGACTTAAATTTTATTCATTAGTTTTTAAATTTTAACTTTTATTGGGGCTTAGCAGCGGTAAACACTTTGAGAGTAAAGCGCAAGCGGCACGCAACTCTTCTTCGGTTACTTTATTACATATCTTCTGTAACCATAGGCTAATCTCCTCTATTCTGATTCCCTTGTACTCCTACTTTTGTCCAATATAAGGCCTCGTACTCAGTGAACGAGGAGACTCGGAACTAGGAGGCTCTTTTCTTTTTTTTTATACAAAGTCTAAGAAAAAATACGCCTGAAAAATACATGTACTTATGTATCTCCCAAAGCTTACGCTGCTGGCAAATGCTAACAAGGACTAAAATTTTAAAACCAATTTATAAAATTAAAGTAGAATTTTATAAGAATAGCAATAAAATACTTTTTTTGGCAAAATCCATAAAGGACCCTTTTATTTTTCCAAAAACCTGTGCGACAGTTATTATTTTTCGCCCTGTACTTTGTCATTTATATTGTAGCAAACACTACTTAGGGCCTGTGCCAATCGGTAACTTTTTTCTCCGTGGTGAGACGGGGTGGATGCTCGTGCGAAAGCTTTATTTTTGGGTGCTGCTGAAATTGTTAAAATTTATGATGTAATGTGGAACGATTTTCCGTCATCCCTTGTCAAATTTGGTTTGGAGACAAACCGGTTTCGGCGTTGTGCCATCTTCAGTGTCATTTTTCGTTCTGAATAGTCTCTGCTTGTCTGTCACTATTTATAGCCGTGTTAAATCGTCGTTGGTTCATAGTTAGGTACGTCTCAGCGGATTATATTCTTTCGTTCAACCAGTAGTTTCAGTTCTGTGTGTACATCCTCAGGTAGAAATTAGCTGCTCACCTCTTCTTTGATTGTTGCATGGATTCGCAGGTAGGTAAAAATCAGTTATTTTCTTTCTCTTTGTTTCTGTAGTTTGGACCTGCATTTCATTTTTTATGGTAGTTGCAGGGTTTCTGTTTTGTTTTGCGTATAGTAGCCTGAGTGGTTCGAATAATATATCTGTTTTGGTGAGAAGCAAAACCAACGTACGCCGGTGCGAACTCACGACGATATATCACAAGGAAAAAAAGAAATATAAACACTTGTATTAGATTAAGTATATATGTATGTAAGACGGTTTATTGCAAGCGCATATACGAAGTTATATGCCTTACTCAAATACGATGTACATAAGCAAAGTAGGACAAAGGAATGGATGTTCACAATATACATATGGATTACCTTAAATAGTGATCGCTGACTCAATGCTGCTGTCGGTCTGGCTGCTGTCATCAAAAAGAACCGCAGTTCAAACCGAACATCGCATTAAATAATCTTGAACTTCGAAAGAAGCCCACCGGTAGTTTTCCCGCAGCGGTGTAGCTTTGCAGCGAACAGCGGTGCAGAACACTTACCAGTGGTTCCCAACTATTGAAGGCTTTTGGCTTCAACATTGCCGCCAGCCTTGCAATACTGAGGAATTGCAAGATGCTTCAAATTAGATTACTTAAAAATTAGGTTTAGCTAGAGATGGAAATATAATATATACAAATTCAAATTCAGTACGATACTTAAAACTAGGATGCGTGCAAAAAATATTAAATTGTTGAACTCTCTTGTGTTGGTTTTTTTTTTTTTACATTTATTCAAATAATTCAGTTCCAATTAAATTCAAACTTTAAAAATACTATATAATTTACCCAGTAAGGGGTCGCTGTGCCTTAAAGGGCACATGGGCCAGAAAGGACCCAACCGAAAATAGAGTTCTGGGCGGTAGGAAACCCAGGATAAGCAATAAGTTCGCCTCTTATGATTTTATGATATACATCCCCACCGAAAATCAAGGCGACGGCAGAGGAAGTGTGGAAACCAGGATCGGCGAGCTTGAGGTTAATGAATTTGTCCCGCGTCGCTTGGCTGAGATGACGAGCGGGAGTTTTCAACCCGATCTCCGACAGTACCCTCGCCGGCAAGGAGAATCGCACATGTGCATCATTTGACGAGCTTACGTGGAGCTCGCACATGCTGATATTCGCCACGGGCACCGTCTTTAGGCGGAGCCGGTGCACCAGCGCGTGGCAAATTTTGCTCGTTTGCGAGCAAGGGTCTATCAGAGCCCGAGCTAAAAATTTCCGAGGCCCAATGTGTAGGTAAACCGCAACGGTGGGTAGAACGGTGACTGTTCCCGAAAGCTGCGTTAAAAGTAGGGGAAGTTGGCGTCGGGGAGAAAGACGGTGGTTTGCATGCAACAGGGTGTGATGCTTTTCCTCACAATATTGGCACGTCCCGTTGCTCAGACAGTTCTTGGCCGTGTGGGAGTGGGCTAAACATCGCGAGCAATATCGATGGAGAAGCACAAGGCGCAGCCGGCGCTCGTAGTTGGCATCTAAGAATCGCCTACAATACCGGAGAGGATGCGACCGGTGGCAAACTCTACATTTGGACCTGCCTTCCCTGGCTGCGCGCTGGGCGGAGGCATCTGTCGGTGGCGGTGGAGGCGAGGCGCGTGGCGATGATGGTGTCGATCGGTCTACGGGAACTAGTTCCATGGTCTTGATGCTAAAGCGGCAAAAAAAGGAAAGTATTGATATGAGGGGTTAGTTTGGTAAGACCACTAACTTCACGATAGGTCGCGTTATCAATCCCTTTTGTGTGCGAATGTCTGCAACACGAATTCTTTTATCGGAGCCTTTATAAATCTTTGTGACCCTGCCCAAGCGCCACTCGTTAGGAGGGAGATTTTCATGGCGAACTACAACTAGGTCATCGACGGCGATGTCTTTTTGAGGGGATTTCCATTTGTAGCGTTTATGGAGTTCTTTGAGATATTCCTCTTTCCATCGCAGAGAGTGTTGCTGGCTAAGAGCCTTTATTTTTTGCCACCGATTAATTATCGAGACTGGGTTTGCTTCTATGGAGGGTTCGGGGGGAGAAAGTATGGGACCCCCCGTGAGAAAGTGACCAGGTGTGAGGGCTGCACAATCTGCGGCGTCGGTGGAATTGGGCGATATCGGCCTAGAATTTAGACAGGATTCAATGCGACAAAGTAGGGTTTGAAACTCTTCAAAGGTGAATTTTTGAGAAGCGGCGGTACGTCGAAAATGAAATTTGATGCTTTTAACTCCAGCTTCCCATAGTCCTCCCATGTGAGGAGCGCCGGCAGGGATAAAGTTCCAAGACACCTCCTGATGACTGTACATATTGCACAAAGACTCCCGCGACGTGGTTAGGAATTTCTTGAATTCCTTTTTCAAGTTAGCTGCCGCACCTACAAAATTGGTCCCATTGTCCGAAAAGATTTGCTGAGGGCAGCTTCGTCTAGATATGAATCGCGAGAATGCGCCAAGAAAGGTCTCTGTGGACAGATCGCTTGTACCTTCCAGGTGAATTGCCCGTGTGGAAAAACATACAAATATGCAAACATAACCTTTGGTGATTTTACATGCTCTACCAGTGAAACTCTTAATATCAAATGGGCCGGCAAAATCGACTCCAGTATTTTGAAAAGGCCTGGAAAGGGTCGTTCGCTCTTCAGGAAGGGCAGCCATGATTTGGGATTGATTCCGCTTTTTATGAATGACGCAAGTTCTGCAGTTATGAATGACAGTCTTTATGAGATTCTTTGCCTTTGGAATCCAACACTGTTGGCGAAGCAGCCGCAGCATCAATTGATTTCCTCCATGAAGAGAAATGTTATGGATCAAGTGAACTAACAACCTTGAGAACGAACAACTATAAGCTAGAAGAATGGGATGTTTTTCATTATAAGATAAAACAAGCGAATTTGCGAGTCGACCATTGACTCTCATTATACCCTGACAGTCTAAGAAGGGATTCAAGGTTAAAAGTTTGCTTTTCGGCGAAATTGGAGTTTTTGAAGTCAGACATCTCTGTTCTTCCAAAAAATGCTTCATCTGTGCCAGAATTATAAGCCGAATACGAATTTTCGAGATTTCCTCTCCCGAAACCGCTAGCGATGGATACGAGTGGAATCTTCGAGTGTGCCGGTTAGTCCTGTTGTAAAACCGGAAGACGTAAGCTAAAACACGCAGTGCGCGCGGAAGAGATGAAAATCTTTCTAAGGGATCCTCATGGCTTGACACAAGCGAAGCGTGCGCCTTTATTTTCCTTGCTTCGATCGTGATATCGTCCAGTTCGTCATCCATTGATGGCCATTGCCCTGCATCTTTACCTAACCAGGAAGGGCCGTACCACCACAACTCGCTTGCGCATAAGTCCTGAGGGTATGCTCCTCTGCTGCCAAGATCTGCTGGATTATCCTTCGAGTCCACGTGATTCCAATGCCTAAATCCGACTAATTCCTGTATCTTTGCTACTCGATTTGCGACAAAGGTGGTCCAGGAGCAGGGCCGCTTTTTGAGCCAAGAGAGAACGATGGTTGAGTCTGTCCAGCAAAATATGTTTTCCACCTTGAAAGGAAGTTCACTTAGAAGAGACCTAAGCATATCGACAACTAGAACCGCCCCACACAACTCCAAACGAGGAAGCGAAATAGTTTTTATGGGTGCAACTTTAGTTTTTGCTAATAAAAGGTGCGACGACACTGTACCGTGGTTTTCTACCCGCAAATATATCACCCCCGCGTATGCCTTTTCCGACGCGTCGCAAAAGGCATGGACTTCGAATGGTGACTCAATGGTGAAATTCACCCAACGCGGAATTTTTATGTCATCGATATACCTATAACTTTCTACAAAGGTTTTCCATTTAAAAAGTGTTTGAGAACTTATAGGCTGATCCCAGAGAGTACCATCTGACCAAATTTGTTGCATCACTATTTTAGCTACGACCACCACCGGAGCTAGCCAACCAGCTGGGTCAAAAAGTTTCGCTATCGTTGACAACACTTCTCGTTTAGTGTAGCTATCCTTTGAAGGGAGGGTCTGAACGCTGAAGAAAAAATGGTCTAATCTAGCATTCCATCTAATCCCTAGTGCTTTTGTTGTGCTTGTCTCATCTAAAGTTAAAAATTCTCTCTTTAATAAATGCTCATGAGGAAGATCCATGAGGATTTCCTTGGAATTTGAAGACCATTTCCTCAAAGAAAATCCTGCACTATCAAGTGCTTCTATCAGCTGGTCTCGTGCCTGTAAAGCTGTGGACACATCGTGAAATCCCGCTAAAACGTCATCTACATACATAGAATTTCGTAAAATCTGAGCCGCTAGTGGATGTGAATCATGAGAATCCTGAGCTAACTGCCGAAGAGTCCTAATTGCCAAGTATGGCGCACAATTAACTCCAAACGTTACCGTCCTTAACTGAAAATCTTGTATACCACTATGTGGATCCTTTCTAAAAAGAATCCTTTGATAGGGCCTATGAGACGGGTTAACTAAAATTTGCCTGTACATTTTTTGGATGTCACTATTAAACACGTATTTATACATCCGCCATCGTATCAGTAGCAAGGTCAAATCAGCTTGAAGGGTTGGGCCTACATGTAAAATATCGTTAAGACAAACTCCATTCGAAGAATTGCTGGACGCGTTGAAAACTACCCTTAATTTCGTGGAAGTACTTTCCGGTTTCAAGACTGCATGATGAGGAAGGTAGAAATGACTAGGAGAATGTTCAAAACTTGGAGCCTCTACTTTCTCCATGTGCCCTAGATCCAAATATTCTTGAACAACCTTGTCATACTCTTCCTTTAAAGATGGATTTTTCGTTAACCTTGCTTCGTTACGAATAAATTGCCGAAATGCAATGGGACGCGATGATCCTAGCTTAACATCCGTTGGATAAAAGTTTTTAAACGGTAGCGAAACCACGTATCTTCCTTCCGAATTCCTAGTAGTTGTTTTCAAGTACAGCTCTTCACAAAACATATCCTCGTCTGATTGAAGGTTATTTTTTGGGACTTCCTCTAACTCCCAGAACTTGCGTAGTTGGCTATCTAACGAAATGTCCTCTCCCATTGAGACTTTTGTAGCAAAGCAAGAGACGTGTGCAGTGGAAGATGCCCCAGTGACAATCCACCCGAACACCGTCTCTTGAGACAGAAGGTTGTATTGAATACTACGTTTTACCCCGTCTAACATAACCTTGGGGTACAAATCTCCTCCGATCAAAACATCGATAGGACCGCTTTGCAAAAACTTCGAATCTGCTAAAGGTACTTTAGGCAGTTTTTCTAGAATGGATTCATCTATTGAGGTCGAGGGTAAGTTACCAGTGATTTGTGGTAATACAAACGCAGTAGCTTCTATTAAAAGATTTGGATCACGGGGTGAGCCTAAAACAAACGAACAAATTTTCGATGCGCTGTTAGAAACCCTTTGATTCAATCCCGAAATAACCGCATTTGTCTTGGAATACGGTAGTTTTAAAAGTTTTCGAAGTCGTTCAGAAATAAACGAGGCTTCTGAAGCTGAATCAATTAAAGCGCGAGCTATATAAGTTGAGCCCAAGTGGCAGATGTGAACCATGGCGGTTCCAAGTAGAGCTGAGGATAAGCCTGACGATTTCAAATTTTCCTCAGCTGTCGACAACATACTGTTAGAAGAAGCGGACTGTATATTTGTATGGAATGCCTGTGAAGCAGTTCCACCTGCAGTTTCTTTTGGGGGTTGAGTGTTAGAAGACACTCTGTGAAGTAGAGTATGATGTCTACTTTTGCACTTAGTGCACGAGAATTGACTTTTACAGTCTTTTATCGAATGGCCTTTTGAAAGACAGTTTAGACAGCAGTTGTGTTTTTTAATTGCAGTGAACCTATCATTAATCGAAAGTGACAAGAATTTTGTACATAAACGCAAAGGATGTTGTTGTTTCTGACACATTATGCAGTAAGACTGAGAAATATTTGTCGCCAGAGACACCTTCTTTTGACCCGCCGGGTTGGGTTGATGTGAGAATGCTTTTTGATGTTGGTTGGTTGAAGAAGATGAAGCTGACCATTTCACATCCACTATCGATTCCAAAGTTCTGAAGCGTTGAGTGAGAAATGCATCCATCTGACTCCATTCCGGTATAGCAGCTTTATCTAGTAGTGTTTGTTCCCACAGAGAAAGTGTTGTTTCAGGGAGTCGGTTTGAACACAGGAAGATTAGGATCGGATCCCAATTCCCAACGTTGACGTTATACGTTGCTAACGCTGATAGACATCCGTTTATGCCTCGCTGGAGCTCCTTTAACGCGGGTGCACTTTCGGTCCGAATAACCGGAAGCGAAAAAAGCAGCTTCAATTGCTTGTTGACCAAAACCCGTTTATTTTCGTACGCTGCCTTCAAATTTGACCATGCGATGTCGAATCCCTCATTTGATAGTGGGGGTTTGCTAACGATGTCTCGTGCTTCGCCGCTTGTTTTATGTCGAAGGTGGAAGAGTTTTTCGATGTTACTCAGATCCGCATTATTAATGTAAATCGCGGTGAAGAGATCACGGAAGGATGGCCACGACACATAGTCACCATGGAATATTTCTGTGTCACATGGCGGTAGGTTCAAATTATTGGAGCGCTTGGGTACTTGGGCAGGGGGCACATAAGAAGCAGTATCAGCCGTCACGCTGTACTTCTGAATGCCTTCGCTAATGCGCGACAAACACGAAAGATAATCTTTAAAAGTTGAAGTCTACCTCATCTTCATCTTTCAGAGTTTGTAAGCATTTTCGCATGCATTTTTAGTTTTAGACCAAATGTCTATCAACTCCGTTTTCAAAATCTCTAAAGAAATTTTCGAATGCTCGTTCAAAGTCGCTTCATCGAATCCCGCATTGAATTCGACAATCTGATCTGAGCACCTAGTGAAATAACTTAAGGTAGACATACTTGTCAAAGAACGAGAGTCGATTTATGTACAAATAACGAAAGAACTAAATTATTGAAAAACACGAAAGGAATGATAAGCGCCACCAATTAATCGAAAAACAGCAAATACTGATTGACTTTAAACTAATGATGTAAATATAGAAAGTTCCTACAGGGTCAATGCAAAAATTTCCTACTGGGTCACTTGTGCTAATATGTATATGCACTTGTAGGTATGTAGGTGTGTATGAATGTAAATACACAGGCGACTAAGCAAAAAATGCAAAGTCACCAGCTGAGCGCCAACACGAACAAAAGGTGCGTGCAATAGGAAAAAACCGAAAATGCACCGATACGGGTAAATATGTGCTGTATGTACTTGTATATAAATGTACGATTGTTTATATGTACTTAGGCACGCACAGTAAAGTAGCGAAAAATGTCGCGATGCTGATTATATACACCAAAAAAAAAGATCTCTCAGTTCGAGAGATTGGAAATGTAAATATGTATGTATGTATATAAACTTATGTATTTACATATATTTAGTAAATAAGGAATACACCAAATTCGAAGATAAATAATACAGATAGATGTGGCCGAAATTAATATTTGAATATACTATGCTCCAAGATTTTCCGAAAAAATTTTATTTTAAAGAGATCACCACCAAAATAATTTGATTAATTGGAAACGATTTAAATCTTTTGAGTTATCGAGATGCGTTTAAATGCAAAAAGAACGTCACTTTCTTGTACACAATGACCACATATATCTGTATATAAAAATGTATGTACACAAGTAATTTTGTATGCACATATGCACATATGTATGTATTTGCACACAGAATTGCAGAACCAAG